CACTCAGTGTAGCCAGTTGCTCCATAACTAAGTAGTCTAACTGCAAAGGGACAATGTTGGTAATGCTGTTGGAAGGATCCTGAAGAACAGAACTTAAAACCAGTCTGCAGGGAAGTAAATGTTAAAAGAGAAAAACCGAACAAATTCTTTCATAATTCTAGCCCCCTTCATCTTGGAATAAGCACCACTGAATTCAATAAGACATACTTCTGAATAGACGTGTTAGAACTGCACTGTAAAACTCTCCATTAAAAATTGTTGGGAAGAACTGGATTCAGTATATTAATTTGCTGTATGCATGTCTTGGCTGCAGTCTATGAGCATCTGTTTTAACCCGTGTGTGTGTGTGTGTGTGTGTGTGTTGTGTGGTGGGAGAACAAGTTACTAAATATACTGAGAAATGTATGGGAGGGCATGCAACAACCAGCATGGCAGCTGCTAATGAAGAAAGGGAGACTTAGAATGGACTTCAGAAACTGTTCTGCTCTCTTATCATGCAGGATTGTGGTTTTTGGCATTTGAAACAGAGTTAAAGGTGTAGGCACTCAGATTTTATGCAAGGGGTGGTGGTGGATCCTGAATATTTGCCCTTTGCTTCTCTCAACCAACTAGCTCTATACATTTTTATGGAACATCCAACATTTTATAAGACATTAAAAGCAAGCATTATTGGATGGGGGATTGGGGGGAAGGGTTACATTCCTGTTTCTTTAAGCCAGTAGGTGAGTGATATAAGTTTGCACTTTGTGTTACTTCTGTTGAAATGAATTAGGTCAAAATTATAATCAATAGACATTTTGGAAAGTGTGCATTTTTGTGTGTGAATATTGCCAAATGAGCCTAGTAGATAGCATCAAGGAAATTTAAGACAGTGACTCAGTTCAGAACTGGCAACCCTGCGTTCCCACTGTGAGAATAGGACACAGCACACTTTGTGTATTCATGCTGCACTCTCCCTTTTACCCTGTTTTGCACTAATGAATAAAATATTTGATTTAAAGCTAGCCACAATTTCTTGTGAAGTCCAAATTCAGAACTGTGGTTTGTTTAAACTATGAATTGAAACTAAGTCAGGATCTGAAACCAAGGTTTGATTCAGCTTGTTCTCAGTAACCAGTTTTAGACACGACACAATTTCCCCAGGTTCACACCTCACAAGGAAAATTTAATTAGTTTAAAATGTAAAATTAAGCTTTTGTTCACCTCTTCATGTGTGCAACAGAGGAGAGGAAATGGGGAGTGTGGATGCTCAAGACTTGCTGCAGTTTATACTTACAGTAGAAAACACATAATAATGGACAGTGACAGATTTATCATGCAGCCCGATCCAGTAAGGAGATTTTGCTACTACTACTCTCCAATCAACTTTGAGCCATTACTGTAGGTCTAGAATGGGGGAGGGGAGTTATGAGCAGCTGGACAGTACTTATGCTTTAGTATCCCTTGAGCACCCACCAGTTTGTTACCAGAACAAGGCTAGTGGTGGTGAAATAAGAGGAATCAGTGCAACGATCCTCTGAACGACTGCTTTTCCAAGGCAAGAGCGTATAGATCCCTTGTGTCAGCATTGCCAGCTACTGTAGATCAGGGTATATGAGCTTCCCCAATATTGCACTCTCTCTTAAAAGCTACCCTGCTTGTTCTATTGCAGAGCTAGTTTTCTTCCACTGACCTCAGATTTACAGAAATAGGGAGAGAAACCGGAAACACATTTGAAACGTTCAGGCAACACGTTGCGATTATGTAAACGTTACATCATCAGCTTTTGGTACACATTGTCTAGTACAATCAGATATGATTTTTATATTAGATTAGTATTATTTTTATCTTATCAAGCAAGCAGGACTATGAGCAGCAACTAAGGGGGAAAATGGAATTCTCAGTTTCCATTAATGTAGCTGTTATCAAGGTTATTCAGGGGAAAGGCAGCTTGTAGATTACAATAGAACTTGTGCTGGTAAGTTCCAACAGAAGTGAAGGTGCCACCTAATCAGATTTCAGGGTGGCTTTTTGTTTTTTTAAAGAAATCCACCTGTTAAGCAAAAGTGCAATCTGGCATGATAAATATTGTTAGCAGAGCCCTGTTCTTCAATGATAAGTAGGCTGTATTTCACATTTAGAATTCATAATGTTACTGTTATGATTTTTGTGTTGGGTTTTAAATAACTTTCTTAATGCTTCCTCTGGCTAGTAATAGTAGGGTGCTAGATTTGCAAATAGTTTGCCTTTTTCCTGTCTTGATGAACTACTCACTGTGGAGAAGCACTCATTGTATGTCCACTTCATGATGCCTTTGCAGACTGCAGTTGTGCATGATTTGCTTAAAAATCACTAAAGCAAGAGGGTGTTGGCGTGGAGAAGAGCCTTGTAGAACTAACTTGGACCAAGATTTAAATTAATTATCATTAAAATAGAAAATTAAGCACTAACATGTATGCTGGGGGAAATACAGGGATTGTATATCCTGGAAAGGTTTTATTGGTTTAACATTCATTGGACATGCACCCTACCTACAGAATCACAATCCAAAATTGCACAGCAGAGCTAATGTGTGAGGGAAGAATGATAGAAACTTTCTGTCTCCCTAATACCCCTTTGATTTAAGGGCCCTTCACAGGGAGGTAGCGCTGAGCCCATGCTGTTTATTCCACAGCCAAAGGAATGCAGTTCAATAAAGTTGAAACATGCCATCTATAATCCAAGTATAGTGCGTGAAGCTGAGCTGAAAAATACCCCTTTCTATTTTGTTTTTATTGGTGTTGAGAAATGTTTCCAGTTTTTCTTGTGCTTTCAACAGCTCTTTGGAACATTTGTTATTTTTGTCCAAGCCCTGGATATGAAGTGTCGCTTACAGAGAGCTGTTCAGGAAACCTCAAAGGTCTATTTTGTTGCTACACCACTTTCTCATTCCAGGCTAGCAACAGAAATAAAGTTGCAGTGTTTTGAAGTATTCTCCTCTACCCATACACACACACACAAAAGTTTCAATAAGTATTCACTACAGGTCAACTGTTATTCCTGCAGTGAGTTCTTCTTGAAACAACCAAGCAATGCAGAAAATGTCAATAACCTCATAAAACCAACTGGCGCTATTTTGAACTGGCCATAACTTGCTGGCTATAGATTTCCCTCTCTGCTCCTTGTTGTTTAGAACAGATAAAACAAATGATACAGCAGTACTAGTCAATGTTGTTTCTTTAAGCAAAGGGGTAGATGGTGGCAGCCTGTTCTTCATCACCACCTGAATGCCCTTCAGCCTGAGCATATATTAGATTAGTTTGTCTTTTATTGTAGCTTATGTTGAAAACGATCTGTCCATCTGTCTGTCTGTCTGTCTATCGCCACTTTAGTTTACACCAGGGGTAGCTAACTTTTGGTCTATAGACTGCATCTGCACGCAACAGGCTTGAGTAGTTTGTTTGACAGTGCCAATGTGTCCCCCCCCCCCGTTTTTAATCTCAAAAATATATTTTGTTTTATTTGTCTGTTTGTTTTTTACTGGCTGTTCCCATAGGTACCCTGCTGCTTTCTGTCACCTACTCAAGCTTCCCCCAAATTTCTCATCTTTTTTTAAAAAATCACCTACCACTCCTACTACAATTCTATGATGCTGAATTCCCTCCCCACCCACATTTGTCCTTTTTAAAAAGAAAATGTCAATACATGTCAATACATGTAGCTTCCAAAGGGTTTACCATTCCTGCTCTACACAGTTGTGTCTATGACAGAAGCTACTCTTTGAAGAACAAGCCAATTTCATACATGCATGCAGTCAGGTGTGTTTTTATACATGTAGATGGAACCGAAGGTGCTATATATTCCTATATGCATGCACTTCTTTGCACCCTGATCCACGATACCAGCATCAGCCACCTTAAGGCTCCTTGGGGTACTCTTGCCTGGTGGGAGATTACATCAAGGTATCAGTGTAGATTTTGTACAAGCAATTATTATTGACTGTTAAGGTCATTTTACACCAGCACTATCACTAGTTGAGTGCAATGAAGGTCTAGAGGGAAGGAACTAAAATATAGCTATTTTTATACTGTCAATTGCTCAAAAGAACATTTCCAATCTGTATTAGCATTAGGATGCAGCTCTTAAGTTGCTCAGAGGTATATCTAGCTATTTGTTTGTTTGAGCCAGACCCTGTCGCTAAGGCACTCGTGGAACTCTATTTCTGATAGGGGATGGTGCATGCTGAGTCCCTCCTGGTATGAAAGTAGCAGTGAAACTGAGTATACCTGCACGATAATGGACTAGGCTGTTAAATTCTTACTGACCAAAGCACACTTGGGCTCGCACAATAAAATCAACCACAACCCTACCCTTAAAATTGCACTGTTCCATCAAGAAGCCGTTGAACATTTTATAGTTGCACTACAATTACAAAGGATAGTTAAAGACATTTTCACACATCAAACATCAGATTTATTTAATTTTATTTCTCTGAAAACAATCCCCGCATGTTTGCTTTTTCATGTAAACAGTGGCCACAAGTTGTTTTTTTGCAAAAAAATGCTAACTTTTGATTTTAAAAAATACTCTCTCATTAATAAATCAGCAATATGCAAGATAGCCTCCTTGTTGTAGTCTGGCTTCCTCACATCTCATAGAGGAAATTGTATTTACCCTAAATAGCAAAAGATAATGATATGACAATATATATGTATGAATATACTGTATATATAAATGTTCAAACAATAGTTGTAAGGTCAACTTGAGCTATGAAATGTCTTTCTGTTCTTAATAAGTAACTCAAGAGGCAATGTCCTAACAAGCTGCAAGAACTTAGAGGGAGGAAGCACTATTTGCTGTCAGGTTCCTGTTCCCACTGCATTCATAGGGCCAGGAGGCAAAATGCCCCTCAGTCCATGGCCGTATGCCCACTCACTTGTTAAAAACAGATCATTCTAATGGTCAGTGGGGCATTCTCTGCCGTCGCCCAAGGTATTTGCTTTTTCTGTTTTCCATCTTTAACACTAGCCTATATGGGGATTGACTGAGATGGCTCAGTTGGTGGAGCATGAGCTTCTTAAGATTCAGGGTTGTGGGTTCGAACCCCACACTGGGCCAAATGATTTCCACATAGCAGGGGGTTGGACAATATGATCCTCGAGATCCCTTTCAACTGTCCAGTTTTATGATTCTGTGAAATCCATGCCTCTCCTTTTGTCCACAGTTCCAAGGGAACAGGCAAGTTTGCAAACCTACCAGGAAGGGATTGCTTAGGAAATTATTTGTAGCCCCATCCCCACACAATGCTTCTCTGGCCTGAATTCCACCCTTAAAAAAAAAGAAAAAAGATTGATGTTCCTGTTATATTTGTTTGGGTAGAATATGTAACTGGCTTTTTAGATGAGCCTGGCATGAGAGCTTTATATGTGATGGTCTTCTAAAGTGCCTTGGCTTGCATGTGAGTTTTAAAAAATAAAAGCAGATTTGGCATTTGGTATGGGGTGCAATTCTGACATTCACTCAAGTTCACCATTTGTATTTTATTTATTTGTTGTTTAAATTTACAGCCCCACCTTACTACACAATGGTATCCAAGCTATTCCAATTCTGCACCTTGTGGTCCTGGCCTCTACAGCACTACACCCCTATGCATGCCAGCAGTCCTAATCACTTGGTTCCATAGGAAAAGCAAAAACACACCCATCCTTTAGAGTTCCTACCTGGAAGTTCTCCACTGCTTAGAGTCTGATAGTAGTTGCTGCTTTCCAACCTGTTTTGTGTCATCGTCCCCCTCCCCAATTCTGGGAAAAGCTTTTCCTGTTCAGTGTATACTTGTCATGCAGTTCATAGGAGCTTTCCCCTATACACCTTTGGGTGTACGTGGCAGCTGCAGCTATCCCGACCTCCAGCCCTGCCAAGGCCAGTCTATGTTGGTGGAGTGCAATAAACAGGGGAAACTCTTCCGTGCTCACAAATGGAACCTACTACAATCAGTGATGCACAGACCTGAAAGCTGTGTTCATTTCTCAAGAACACCTTTATGATTTTGCATTTAAAGGACATTACAGTTGAAGACTGAAGAGCAATATTTATCAACATTTAAATAAAACATTTTGGTGGCTTTTATGTATAAATATTTCTTCATATAAACATAACACAAAATTAAATAGCTCAGATACACAGACACTATTTAATATACTTCCACTGTTGTCAAAATCATCTGTAAACACCATCTCACACTGAATACAAAAGCAGCTTTTATACCAGTTCTGTGTTCACAACACTGATTCCCCTTTTCATAAAGGAAGTTGCACTTTTATTTTTTATTTTTGTTAAATCTGAGTGTCAGGTCTAATGAAAAAAAAAAGGAAGAGGAAAAAAAAAACTCCACAAAGAAGCTTGGTCAATTGAAAGCATAATATACAAAATTACCTTTCAAAATGTAAGTAAATCTGAACTGAAACTAAGTTTTAAATTACAATCCTTTCCTTGGGGAAGTCCTGACTTTTGTGAAGTACAGTATAGGCACAATCCACTTGGAACATCTCCTCTGCAATCATCACTGAGTGAATGGGAGTTGCATAAGAGGACGGTGGGTTGTGTCCAAGATCTCAGGAACTGACCACATTATAAATACCAGGAGCCATCACTGCTCACATCTCAACTATAAATATTAAAGCCCTTTTTTTGTCTTTCTCAGAAGGTGCTTAGCTATTTAAAATAGCAGACTACTTACATTAATTTGGGACATTGTACTGCACAAACTTGAATTTTCCACTACTGGTTGTAACAACAACAACAACAACGATAACAACAACAGAAGCTTTCAAGATTGACAAGCATTTTGGAAAGTGCCAAGTCAGTTTCTTTAAATACATAATTATTTCCCCCCATTTCTAAAAAACACTTTCTAAATGTGCAGAAAATAGAGACAGACACTCGTTCTGAGAATCCCCTGGTGCAGTCTGATTTAGGAGCCTGCCTGAGAGAAGTGATGTGCTTATTACATAGACTTTTGACTTCTTCAAACCCTTGAATAAATGCACTGAAATAATCACATGCTTTCTTCCTGGTGCTGCCCTCAGAACTCCTTCTTGTCCCCTCTTGCCCACCCCCCAAACCAGCAGAGTGGGCTGGACTCCCCTAATCTGCACAGAAGTCACTGTCAACTTCTAAGCAACCTGGAGACTCCCAGAGCCACACTGGGCGCTATCCTATTTGTACTGGCATAATTGAAGTCTGAGAACCAGGCCAAAAGTCCATCGACATTCACGTTTGATGCACAAGTACATCCTGTAAAGACTGCAGCTCCCAGTATTTTGTGTTCTCTGTTAAAGTAAATATTAGTAAGGATTCTCTCATCTGCATGTGGCCTCACATCTCCAGTTGAGAGACTGTGAGCTCTTCAAGGTACATCTCTATATGAAAAATATACATGAAACTCATTTCCGTTGTAAAAATGTGTGGCTATAGTAAGTGCCCTTATTTGTTTGTTTATTTAAAAATATTTCTAACCCGCCCTTCATTGCAAAGCAATTCCAGGACGAAGCATAAACGTAATTAAAACTGCATCTATAACAATCATAAAACAGGGGCCTTCTGGTGTTCTTCACTGTGGTGCGCATTTATTGTGAGGGGTTCGCCACTTTAAGGAGAAGCCAAAATTTCAGAATAAATTAGAAAACATAAATATAAGCTGAAAAATGATTTTCAAGGCCCCTTTGTGCTGCTCGCATCTGACAATCATGATAAGCAGTGCCTCAAAAGACAGGCATCTTATTTCCTGGTAAACAGATGGCAGGCTCTGAGTGCCTTGGTTCCTCCTCTGCAGATTCTTTAATAACTTGGCCCACAAGAATTGTCATTACATCCAAAAGAGGTGAGGAAGGGAAGCTCTAAGAGGTTTGGTGCAACCTAAGCTTAGAATGCACACATATGTTTTCTTTTGATAGATCTGTCCAACTAGTTACTTCAGCTAAAACCTACTTTACTCCTTAGGAATGGGCTAGCTGCATGTGCTCACCTGAGATCCCAGAATGGATTTACATTTGAATAATTGGGCAGATCACCAATAGCTTTCATAATTGCACTGCAACTCCTTGGGATTTTGTAGCAAAACCTTCAGACGTTTGATTGTTCCTTAGTAAAAACCTCTGCAATTAGTTTGTTTTTGCTTAATGCGGTATAAACCATTACATTAAACAGGAAGTATTAAAAGGATAGATGCATACACCAGACTGATCCTTTCTCATCTTGAAGATGAAATATTTGTAGTTGGCTCCAGCAACCACCCTCCCTCCCATTTTTGCAATCCCTTTAATATGTTTTTCCATTGTTAAACATACTATTTTATGAAGCTTCCCGTGGAATCCGCTTATGAAAAATGACGGACTGTCTCTGCTGGTACTGTTGCTTACGTCGTTTACGTTTGTCACATTGACATAGCAGTAACATCTTAAAAGTGGTTCTGAATGTTTTGTTACACAGTGCATAGCACATAGGGTTCACTGTGCTATTGATGTAGCAAAGCCAATACCCCATGTTCCAAAATGTTTGGGGAATACATTTATTACAAAAGGCGTTTACCAAGACCATGATGTTGTATGGGGTCCATGTGATAATGAAGGCAAACAAAATGGCACTGAGTGTCTGTGCAGCTTTCTTTTCTTTGATGAGTGACATTCGTTTCCGCTTGGAGATCTGACTTCTTGTCTTCAAGGCAAACTTCTTGGCCAGGGTAGCTTCCTTGAATGATAAAGGCAGGGCAGCAGGTGCCTTATGTCCTGTTGAAATGCCATCAGTAGCCTTTCCTGTGTGTGCTGCTGACCCTGGTTGAACAGGAAGTTTAGGAAAGCTCTTCTGCAAGTTTCCATCTTCTAAACACTTTTGTGGATGAAGGTTTTTAGGCTTCTTGTCTTTTGACTCTGTGTCCATCTTCGACAATTCATCCTCTGACCCCTGCAGGTCTTCTGATGAGGGTTGCTTTGTAGAGTTTAGGATAGTGTTATGTCCTGGAAGCTTCAGTACAATGGAATAGATGGCCCTGGTCTCAGAGGCAATGTCGTCTTCGTCCGACGAAGCAGAGTTCTCAAGAGAAGCGTTGCCATCGTTGTTGTTCCAGCTGTCACTGCTACTGTGCTCCTGATCAACCTGATCTGGGCTTGGCTTCCAGCTCTTGGATGTCATCCAGAAGTGGCAGCCGCCATACTTTCTTCTCTTCGAGCGCTTTGTATTATGCTGCTGCAGCTCATAGCTGCTGCAGCTTCTAGAGCTGCCTGTCTGGTTGACAAAGCGTGCTGCCTCAGCTTCGCTGCCAGAGGCCTGGAGTCCTGCTAACTCTTTGGTACGCTTCTCTGTCTCCTTGTATATCCTCCAGTACAAAATACTCATAATGGTGACGGGCAAATAAAAGGCAGCTATTGCGGTGCCAAAAGTGATGATAGGCTCACTCAGGAACTGGATGTAACATTCACCTTCACCAACAGTTCGCTCACCAACAAAATATTGCCAGAACAGAATAGCAGGGGCCCAAAGGACAAAGGAGATGACCCAAGCCAAGCCAATCATCACCCCAGCTCTTCTGGTTGTTCGTTTTGCTCTGTAGGTAAGTGGCCTTGTGATGGAAAAATATCTGTCAAAGCTTATGACCAGCAGATTCATAACTGAGGCGTTGCTAGCGACATAGTCGATGGAGAGCCACAGGTCACAGGCCAGGTTTCCCAAAGCCCAGCGGCCCATGATGATATATGTAGTGAACAGGTTCATGGAAATAATGCCAATGATCAAATCTGCGCAAGCAAGGCTCAGCAAGAAGTAATTGTTAACAGTTTTCAGCTGTTTGTTGACTTTAAATGCCACAATCACGAGGATGTTTCCTATGATGGTCACAAGGGCCAAGAAGCCAGTGAGTAAAGCAATCAAGACAACTTGCCAAACGGTGTGGCCACCCAAAGGATCAGCAGGAACTTGTGATCCATTGGTCATTTCCATAGTGGTGAAAGAGAAGCTCTCGTTTGTTTGGGAGAGGCCATGGCTGCTCGTGAACGAGGATGCATCACTTGGGAGGCCTGTTGTTTGGGAGTCTTGAATCCAGACAGCGCTCACAGAAACCAAGGAAG